TTTTGCTTTTAAACAAAGTTTACTCTAATTAAGACATATAGATCTTTAGGCTTTCAGAAATTTGTGAATGTCGTGGTTTGCTTGTTGTTAAAGATGAAATAACCTTTTTTTAAAGCAGCGAAAATGCATTGTCTTCATATTTTCTTATAATAATAATATTTATTAGTTACAATTGTAACCAATTCTATCAATCTATGTCTTTACGCCCGTATATTTTCTTATTTTTCTCTAATTTATATTTATCAATTAAATTACTGAAAATATTCAGTTTTCAAATGTGATTGTTTTATTCTATGTTTTAGTAAATTCCTATTTTTAGTTAACTATTGTTCTTTTTATAATTAATAATTGAATTTTTATCAATGGAATTATTGAACAATTTTCAGTTTTGAAATGTTTATAAATTCATATTGTTTATTAATTAACACGAAAATTTGATTTTTGTTCAAATAGTTTTAGATATTTCACGTTTCTATTTTATGTAATTAATATAAATATCAATTTTATTAATTACTTAGACATTAGCATTGTCACTTTCTCTTAATAATATTGATAATATTTTTTCAACAAGAAATTTATATTTTTCTTAAATTTATAAATGATAATTACAATATTTTAGATGTAAACTCTATTGCTCGTTTAAAATTACTTTATATTTCATGTAATAATTTACATAATAATATTGTTAGTTTAATTAGAAAAATTTAATTTTTAAACTAGAAAATTCTTTTTTTTTTTAAATAACTTATTACAAGTTTGCATATTTTTATGAAAGTTCAAATAATAGAAAATTATTCTAAACTTTAATAAACTCTTAATAACTTATTTAAAATTATCCTTTCTTTCATCAAGATTTTATTTATAAATTAAAATTTATATTTTTCACCAATTGAACAAAATATGCAAGTTTTCAATTTTTTTTATTTATTTTTTTTAATAATTATAGTTTCAGCAATAATTTCGTCATGTAATATTTCATATATGTATTATATAATTATTTTAAATTTAAATAATTATTGAACGTATTTCTATAACCAAATAATTAACTGTTATAATTTGTGATGATGATGAAAAATGGTACATTAATTTAATTATTTATAATTTGAGATTTGTTGCTATTGTTTTTGGTTATTTTGCATTTTTCTGTAATTGTAAGGATTAGCATGTAGTCAACATCATAAAACCTTATTGCAGGTAGCCGCTAGCCATAAATACTTTTATTGGTATTCCTTTCCTGTTGTATAGGATCGTGGAAAATGGATTTTCTTTGGAAATGAAAATAGAGTTAGAAAATATTATCGTGCTGATTATTTGCGAATGTATATTGACGTAACTTTCTACAATCAGTTTTTTTTTGCAGCTGTTTGCTTTTTCCCTGAAAGTAGTCGTTCCTTTTTGGCGCGTTTTTTTTTTTCAAAATTTGTAAGGCAGTAGCATTTGTAAGGCGTTTTCTGTATTTGCAAGGATTAGCATGTAGTAGACATCATAAAACCTTATTGCTAGTAGCCAATAAACGCTTTTATTGCTATTGCTTTTTTGTTGTCTGGAAACGTGGAAAATGAATTTTCTTTAAAAATTTGTTTATTGTTATAAATAAACCAATGCTTTACAAGAAAATATTATCTTGTCGATTACTTGCAAATTTGTATAGACGTATCTTTCTACAATCAGTTTTTCTTGCTGCTGCAGTATTATCTTGCTAGTTGCTACTTGCTAGTAACCAATAAACACTTTTATTGCTATTGCTTTTTTGTTGTATGGGATTGTGGAAAATGGATTTTCTTTGAAAATTTGTTTATTGTTATAAATAAACCAACGATTTACAAGAAAATATTATTGTGCGGATTATTTGCGAATTTGTATGGACGTATCTTTCTACAACCAGTTTTTATTGCAGCCGTTTGACCCTTTTTACTTGAACAGTAAAATTGTTGTTGTTTTTAATTATTTAAACTTTTAATAACAATATTGTTCTTGCTTTTTTTCCAAAGTTTTCGATTAATTTGCGTTTTGCTGTAACTGGGAGGTTTAATAAGTTCACTTTGTGGATTTAGCAAGTAGTTTTAGCAATTGTAAATCATTTTAATGACATTTTAATGTTATTGTTTCTAATTAAGAAAGTATGAACATATTAAAGGTGTTTTTTGTTTACAGAAAAAAATACTAATTAAAAACATATTTTCAATGACTTTTTTTTAATTTATGATTGTTTTTGTCAATATTGAGAAAGTTTTTTTTATATTATTAGAATTTTATGATTTTCGCTAAAATATTTTCATTTTTGGTGTGAATTTGCAATATTTAGTTATTAATTTTAATATAATTTTTCTGTTGTTTTATATATGGTTTTGATTGTTTTAAACAATCATCAGTACATTTGTTTTTTCATATATTCATATTTTTTTTGTTTCCTTTTTGCTGAAATTAGTTACAACAAATTTATTATGTTATTAAAGATGTAATAAATAAACAATTGTTTTACTCTCATTTCATCGTAAAACAACATTTTTATAATTATTTAATTTCTTTAACAAAATAAGTTACTTTTTTATGATTGTTTTAAACAATCATGAGTATATTTGTATTTTTATTATATTAATAAAGTTTTGTTTCTTGTTGAAACATTTTGATAATAATCATACCGAAATTATATACAACAAATTGTTATTTATGAAATTCTAAGAATTTTCATTTTCTTTCTTTTCTTCGTGAAAATCCTTTTCCTGTAATAATTTTACAGGTAAAGTCCCATGTCGTGCTCTTACAACAAAATGAACAATTTCTCAGAAAATTTAATTGTTTTCAGTGGAAAAATACTAAAGTTATGCATAAATTATTAAAAAAATAAATTATTTACTATTGTTTCAAGACATTCAAATTATTTCTTTATAATTATTATAGGAAAATTTTAGCGTTTATTTTTTGATAAAATTATTTAAATTTTATAAATGAATAAATTATTTAATCACACTTTACTAAATAATTTAACATTGTAGCAAAAAAATACTTTTTTTTTAATAATTAATTAATTTCTCCTCTAAAGTCTAAGAGATAAAAATAATAATTACTATAACATAGCACGAAATTAATGGTTGATATTGTTGTAAACAAAGTTTCCTTCTGCTCTTAATATTATTTTTTTTCTTTTAATCTCTGATAATAATAATCATCATTATCACTATCATCTTAACTAGAAATTTTGACGGTCTCTTCACTAAGAAATTAAAGGAATTAATTTCCTTCTTGTTTGTTTCTTGTTTATTATTTCATTACTTAACAATTTTTGAGATGTGTAAAAGTTGGAATAATCTTTGTAAATCTACAGAAAACTAATGGATAAATTAATTAATTATAATTTTACTAATTAGTTTAACATTGTATGATAAAAA